CCAGAGCTCTTGTATAGTCTATTGTTCATTTCAGAAACGCACAAATCAACCATCAAGTGTCTGTTAAGCCCTGGCCCGCACAGATCCCAATATTCACAGTGGCTGACAACAGAAAGACTTCATGAATGCCAGGAGAGTCAGAAGAGTCCTGCAGCTTCCTCAGGAAATGTGTCCAATGTCAGCACCAGAGTAAAGACACACAGCAGACTGATGCTCGCTCCTTTTACATTTTAGGTTCTCATTTAGGCTTTACGACAATGCAACACACTGCAGTAGCCCGTGTTCTCATGAAGCTTGAACTTTTGAGGGGCTGCAGCACTTAAATTCGAATCAAACATAGGTTGTAAAATTCAATTCAATTAGTTAAAAGGGAGAAACATGCTAATTGTCTGCCATTTTTTCGTTAGAAGTCGCACAAAGAGGAGGAAATAAGAAAAACCCTTCACTTCTAATGTGTCTCAATGTTTCACACGCGCACGTGCGAACTCCCATCAGTGGTCAAACCTCGCGTGAGAGAGTTTAAAGGAAACAACTTACTTTGACAGACGGAGAACGAGCAGCACAGCCTTTCCAATACGCGGACTTTCTGAGTTTTGCGACCTGTTGGAGAGGATGGGATGTGGACCAGCGGGTCTTTGTCCCTTTAGTACTCTCCTGGCTGTTTGCTCTGCTCCCCTCACAGCTGGCCGCGCGCTCCCAGCCCACTCCTCACCACACAGGGCAGCCAATGAGAGGCCGCCTCAGCATCCTGGACCCGCCCTCTCCGGTCCAGTCACCAGGGTTACACAAACACACTGCAGGCGCTGGAAAGATCATGGACCTGCATCTGCGGGTTATGAAACTCTACGTTTATGTAAAACTTCCGTTTCCAGCACGTTATGGCCTTTATGTGGCCTTAAATGTGAGACACTGCTTTAATGTGCCTTTTGTGTTTAATTTAAGAAGTTAAAGGATTACTCCCTTCTGTGGAATTTAGTTTATTTACTAAAGTATTATTATATGAAATAATGTTCTTTTTGTACTTTCCTTGGAAGAAACCATTCTCCTTTTCTTGCATCTTTGATGCCAAAAACAGGCCCCACATCCCAAAAGCTTCCTCACAGCTCACTGTCAATGGTTTGGGAGTGAACTCGATGACTTTTACACCATTAATGTTGGGATGTTGCGGGCTCCATTAAGAGCTACGTCTGTGTCTTTAAAGTTCCATTTAATCATATTTTTGATGTTCAAATTGAATCAAGTGACCTATTGTTGTTTACTATCTACTATTAGATGTGTTTTGGTGTATATAGACTGTATAAATGCCAACTGCAGACAACCATTTACAACAAGCTCTGTCTAGTACACTGGCTTTCTTCCCATCATACCATGGGTGACAATATAGACAAGGTAAAGGAGTGGCTGAAAAAACAAGTCAAAGAGAGACAGATATTTTCTTAAGAGTTTGTGCAAAAAAAAAAGATGAATGTTCTCAAAAGGAGAACCATGGTAGACAGAATTTGACTTACTCTGCTATTTAAGGGATCCCCAGGTAAGCAAGAACATGTAAAAAAGTAAGAAACATGGATTAGATATAACTAACTAACTAACTAAACTGTCATGCTTAAACCTCCTGATTGATCCCTCAGATTAGACTCAGTGTCTCATCAGGACTGGCCTGTGCTTGTGGCACTGTGGTGTTCAAGGACACCACCATGTGGTCAGAAAGTGCTGCAAAGCCCGATCTTGGCACAAAGTAGACTAAATGAACAAACCTTTGGACAAATATGTGAATAATGTACATATAATTAAGAACATAAACATTTGAGACGTATGTAATAACAAGTACTTCTTCAATTTACTGACATTAAACATAAAGAAATTACTATAATTAGCCTGACATGTTTTACTAACCTTTCTACTGACTGTATAGGTTTCTACACATCATCCTTTAATCAACATTTCAGATTAATCTTTTTTTTTTATTCCTGATGTATGTGTGCTGAAAAGAACATTGTGTGTCAGCAAATATCTAAGTTTCTGTAGTGTCCTTGAGCCAGACAGTGAATTGTCAGCAGATCAAATTTGACATGAATACATTATTATACCATCAGAATTTCTGCATCACTTTTTTGCAGACCAAGAAGCTGCAGTAAAAATAATACATGGGCTGGGTTTGTGAATCGAATGTACCCTTTTTTGCTGATTTATTTAGTATTTTCAGGTTTTTTGTATCATTTTCAAACAGTGACACCTTTTGAGTTTTCCAACAAGACGACTACTTTTTTCTCCATCTGATGTACTGTTACAATTCCTTATAGATTGTTATACATAGAGAAATCTGGTGGCTCTGTGTGGCTACAACAATAAAACTTACTGGCTACATTTGATAAATGATTCAAAGAGGTTTGGCTACAGGGAAGTGTTTTAGAAACCAGTCGAAATTTTTTGAGGCTGACCACTTGTTTTGTCAGAGTAAACATCATTAAGCTACCTGTTGTGGAAAGTAAGATAAATAATACCAGCAGTCAGCCAGTTCTTCTGTTACACTGATTCACTATATAGATAAAGAGGTTCCTGTCTTGCCCAGTGGGAGCAGGATGGAGGTCATCTTTGGAGTCAAGTTGCAACACAACAGGGGAATGCTGAAGCAGACCAAACACACAACAGCATGTCTAATGAATAGCATCAGAGGTCCCAGTAAAGTACCTTAGTTGTGATTTATATTATATTTACAGTCTACAAATTCAACACGATTTGTGGCTTTTAATTACAATTTGACAACATCAATCAACACTGAAACAGTTAACACATGGACAACTGCTCATTACATTGTTATAACTGTCAAATCTGGAGCAAACTGCAGGCTCTTAACTCACAAACAAAATGCCACTAATGACATGCTTGTAAAAGGCAACAGTTCATTGGCTGCAAGAGCATGAAAGCAGTGATGACATTTGGCTTCTGTCCTCCCTGTGGGAATAAACAATGACAGAGCTTGTATGTGTTTATGTTTATCACTGCAATGATAGCGGACTCAGAAACAACATGTTTTGTTTGTTTGACTTGTTATGTGCTCAACTTAAATGATTCAGGAAACTGGCATAATATTAAATCTTAACCATTTATTCAGGAATGCACAAAATATAGCAGGTAACATAAGATCTGAGTATACTTAATTTTCTTCAATTTTACAAATATTAGGAACAAAGTTCTTTTCATAAAGTATAAAATTTACACATATTGTACTGTAACAATGGATTTGCATTGAAAAGCACTTTCAGACAAATGTAACACCACCACAACAGGACATAGACCCATCTCATTTTACAATGACATTTGGCAATTGATTGTGCTGACGTGAAAGAAGGGATCCACAGAGGAATTTGTCCTTTTGTATCTGAAAGACATCTGGCCAAAATGCAATAGTGTGCTCCTTCAGGTTCAATCCAGGCAGAAAGCGCTGATGTTAGCGATGAAGATATTATTACTTGATAAACCTTTGCTCACCAAAACTCAGACCTTCACCTTAAAGAGTAATGTAGCCCAGCATGTAAGCTCATCCATCCACTGCAGGTAAAGCATCAACACTGCAAACCCACTATAACTCATTGTTGTTCAGGATATTTTGATCATAAAAGATATATACTGTATACAGTACACTTTGGCAACAGAGTCCACAACAGAGGGTGGCAACTGAACTGCATGAAGGAACTGAGAAAACTAAATCTTTTCTTCTTCTTTTTCTTTTTACAAAATAGACAAAATAAAGGCACACCAGCAACATTTGAGCTCACAGATAAAATATGAATACAGTACAAAAATATCTACATGGCAGCGACACAATATGATTCTAACTTTTCCACACTCAAATGCAGAGCAAGAAAATGAAACATGACACATGGTTTTAACATTACAGTATAACAAGAGCAAACATGTTCCTACTTCAAACTAAACTTCCACCCATCACTGTCAAACCACAATCAAACGAATAAGATATCATAGATCAGAATATAGGATATGATTCTTTTAAGTGCCCTTCATATGTAACAATCCCAGAGATTTATGCGGGGCATAATGTACATGATGTCCAAACTCTGTGGTTTAACTTCAAACTGTGCCTAACTGAGGATTTTATCACACATTGTATATGTTACCCTGTGAAACAAGAAAGATGAACAAACTCAAAGGCAACTTAAAAAAAATACTCTGTAACTTAAACTGTCAGTATCACAAATATAATTGGCAGCAAGAAATATTTTAAGGCCAGAAAACTAATACACTAGGATCAGTTCAGGCACTCAACAGAGAGATTTGTCCTTTCTAAAGAATGTTACTTACATGTAGACGCACTGTGGTAAAAGATGTCTGTGCTGTTTGCCCACATCGCCTTTCCCTTAGTTCCCACATTATTTCCTACAGTTTTGTGTTAAACATGCTGTATAAAATGATTGATGAAATTCTTTGTAATACAACACACTAGCTGATTTTTTCAAATGCACACACATTTCAAAGAAAAGAACCAGCTGTTAAAAACAGATGAATCTTTGAACCATGAAATGAGCCTTTACTGCAAATACTCAATAGATCATTGAGCTTCTCCTTCAAAATAATTAAAATACATCTCAACTTTGTGCTTCTGCAACTGCTGTGACATGATTAACGCAATGATCAGTTATTGTTCTGGTTTCAGTCTGAAAAGAACAAAAGAGCAAGTGCAACATGTATTTCTGTATTTCAATATTTAAAAAAAAAAACAATGAGCAAAGAGAAAGAAAGGCTGACGTGTGCTTAATTGTGAGCATGTACATAATTTACATCATTGTTGTAGTGAGAGTTTGATTAAAGGCCTCTTAGTCTGTTCCCAGTTTGGCGATCAGTTCATCACAGATCTTAGTGAGCTCCTCGATCTCTTGATTCTGTGAGAGACAGGGAGAGGATGAGAGATGTTTAGGTGTTAAAGCTAAAATGTCAGGACAGAAACATAATTCTGCAACTGCACAGGGACAATAAAAATCGTTGAATCC